TAAATATATATTTGTGACCTCATTTTTCTACACTACAAACTGATTATTTTGTTTGAGGGAAAGAAATTATTTTGTCGCATCGGTGGAAAATAATTGACATCTGCCCCAGTTCTAATGTTTTGAAACAATTTTTTCATCAAAAAATAATCGAGGAGTGACAGCTCACGTTTTTTTTTTCATAAAACATCCTATATATTTGAAAGACAAAATAATTGGATAAGATTTCACACAGAAATCCTTGCTATTTTGCAATGGAAATCGATAATGAATAATTATTCGCCAGAGTGGACCATTAAAACATATTAAAACTCTGTTAACACACCACCATGGTGAAGATATATAGCACTCTGATAAAAAATATGGCAAGTTGCAATTGTTACGTTGGTATAAGGCAGTTAGTTTAAATAAAATCTGCGCTTCTGCCGCTAGTCTCTTTCCACACACAACATACCAATGAAATAGTCGTTATCGTTATCAACATTGAGTGGAGAAAATGAAAATTCCATGGAGTGCTGATGTTGCAGAAAGGATCAAATAGTTCTTACATTGATTCATCTAGAATTTTGAATATGGCATCTTTCAGATTTAGTTACTTATTTTTCTATTCAATGCCACTTTTTCAGATTTTTTTTTACCAGTGTCAGTATGTTTTCAGGGCTGGTATAATTTGCATCATTTGATTAAAATGATTTATGGGGAGCCACATAAACTGTTTATAAATCCAACGGAATGGATGAATAAATGGATGAATAAACGGTGTTTCAGAATACTTAAATCCAATAGTGTTTTGTGTTAAGCTATAGTATATTCCAGATGAGAAAAGAATGACAGAGCCCACTTTACACTAGTATATAAGTGTAGCTAACAGACTACCCCCCACCCCCTATAATTTTCAGAATACAAAATGAAGGAACTCAATGCAGCAGTTGACTATGTCAAGGAGAATAGAATCTGTGACCTGCGACTATTGCAATTATATCGGTTGAATGACTATACTCACGATAGAACCACGAATAAAACGTTGATAGTAAATCACTTGAACTTCTGATTTTATTTTAAACGGTTATTAGATATCCGACCTGTCAAATAACCACTTCCGCTGATCATCATCAATAACGATATCGCTATTGTGGACTCGCCTGGCAATTAAGACTAATGAAAAGCGAGGTCAAATCACCACATATCACGGTCTTTTCTTAATTGAAATGTGCAATGTATTCATTAATTTCAAAGTTCGGCTCGACAAACACTCAAGAGATCAAGTCATATTAATCCATTGAACTCAATGTAAACAACTGGAAGGGAGACTACCGCTTTCTCGAATAGCCCAGAGTGTGTCAGGGGCAGCTGCAACAAAGATAGCTTGTGTTACGGTAACCTGTCTCTTTCACACTCGTGTTGTTAAATGGCGGATAGGTGTATAAATTCTCTTTCATCCAATAATTGGAGTACTTGAGATCGCTTTTAAATCTAAACAGACAAAAAAAGTGAAGACAGAATTTTATTGTTTTTTGTTAGGTGAAATATCGCTAAATTTGGCGTGTTTTGTTTCTTCAAAAAGACTGAATTTGTTGGTGTGAATTGATTGTTATTCAAAAGGTTTGTGATTTCGAATTAATAGACAATGGTTATGTATATTATGTTGCCTTTGGATGCAAAACAAGCAAGACATACAGAAATTGTCCTTCGTGGGTAAGTTGAAAAATGTTCAGATTCTTAGAAAAACTATAGTAATTTATTTTCAAGATGTGTCTGTGGGTGTGTGTGTGGATGTTCATAACTTGGATTCTAAGGACGATGTTTTTCATTTGGACATTGATTTGCCTACAACTTCCAGCTCCCAAGTTTTAAAGTTTATTGATAATGAAACCCACAAACTGTTTCATTCGAGGCCTATTCTATTGCAAAGAAAAGTGAGAACACTCAAACAAAAAGTAAAATGGAGAATGACAATCTTGATGAGGTACTAAAGAACATTTTGAAGGTTAAAATTACAAGTTAAAATTTTTAAACTCAAGAGCTACATCATATTGTCTTTTCAGGTTTGCCTTTGGAGCTTCTCCTTTTCCAGAAAGAAAAAAATTAGGGTTTACATTCTGGGCGACACAGATATGCATCTTTAATGAAACAATTCGTCCAAACATTGTACTTTTATTCACCTTTCATACACCTTCTAATAGTGAAATGTTTATGGAAAAATAGGTACCCTTGAAAATATGCTTAAAATAGACTTAAGGTACTCAATACCATTCAAGAACCTCTTTTCAATTTTTTTCTATCGTTTTTCTTTTTCTTCTGATAGTGCTGAGACATTGAGCTTCGCTCACCCTGTACACTATATTGTGACATTTAAATGAGAATAATTATATAATTTCAATTTTGTATTCATTGGGAGTTGGGCTAACGGAGGAGCAGTGACAGGTCACGCGGAAATTGCGACATGGGTGGAGCAGGAGATCCCTATCTCCACCTTAAGAGTAAAGAACGCCCAAAATAGGCTGAGATGGAATAGAAGGTTCACCCTCACTATTCCAACAAGGGACATCACTTCACTTCCTCGGAGAGTGTGAGGCGTATGGAAGGATGAGATTCGAAATCTTTGGAGTAGATAAACTACAACAGGAAGATTTGGCCGAATTAGAGTGGACGGACATCCTGACCTTCATCAGAAGGACGGGACGGTTCGAAAAGGACAACTAAAAGAGGGATGTGTAGATATGTGGAGAGCAGGGGTTGGCAAAAAGGGCCCATGGGGGCCTACTTGCCTGGCTACAGCCTCCCCACAGTACTACTACTACTACTACTACTTGTATTCATTTTACTTCCTAATCCTGTGAGAATGAAAATTAAATTCCACTTTCAAGTCAAAATCAATAATAATTTTTTTATGATAGTTGATTGTGACATTATCCTTTTTCCTAAACGAATATTTATATTTAATCACGTTTTCTCTCGAATAAAAGGAAAAAACGAGAAAATATTTGAAATAATGGGAGCGCTTCCCATAAGCCAACATAAGATAGAAGGAGATAGGTATCCGTAACCACTACGGGTTGCCTCACTCGTCGTTCACAGAGAATCCCTTCTAGTTGTTTACATTGAGTTCATTGTATTAATCACGCGTTATACAGTGTGTTTTCAAAGGTAGAGCACGTTTTTCCAAAGATCGCAAAACTCAACAAAATAAAACACTGAAAAGTATCTTCCTTCATAAAAGTTACATACATAAAAGAGGTATTAATTATATATATAATTATTTCTCGAAAGTTTTTGGTATGCCTTCATATTAGGGTGAGCATAGTTAAAGTGCGGCCGCATCGTATGGCAGTTTTAAAATTAAATGGAGAAAACCAGGGCCGCAACAAGAGCAATTTCACTAGTCAGTCTTCAAACTTTCTTATTTTGCCACATTCATAGGCAATTTTTACTGCAATTGTTCATTTTGATCGGCTCTACATCCTGTTATAGAAGATGCCTCATGTTTTAAAAATATCCTGTTTACACTATTTAATGCTTTTTCAGAAAAATTATCAATAAAATTAGAAATTAGATAACCTGTCAATGTTACAATCGGCTCAAGTTTCGTTTAGCTGAAATCAGTTATGGAAAAACTGTTGCTATGGCAACGATCGTCATGGTAACGAGTAAACAAAAATCATATTCCCGTGGTGAGGAAATGAGTGATTGCCAAGTTGTATCGGAGAAATATTGCTTCATTCATTAATTTCAGAAACATTCTTCAATGTAACTATCCTTCGCGTGCCGAGCTATTCGACAAAATCGAAAAGAAACAGAGTCATTTTGGAATATTCACATTTCCATTTGCCTTCATTTCGATTCACTCATACCTTTCTTCACGCGAACATTTTGATTCAGCAACAGTCTTCAAACATACACAAACGATGCCTTGCTACAAAATCTGAACGATGTTGAAAAAAAAAAGTTTTTCAAGAAGAAGGTTGATTTAAGTCGAGTCAGGTTAGATTGTTTGGAAAAAGTAGTGTCCTTTTTAATGCAGTCTTCAAACACACACGAACGATGCCTTGGTACCAAATCTGATTGAATATGAAAAATATATTTTTTCTAGGAAGGTTCATTTCAGGCCGAGTTAGGTTAGATTGTTTAGAAAAAGTAGTATCCTGCCTTATGCGCTATTTGTTTCGCAATATTTTGTCGCTCGCTATTTTGTCTAGCCTTGTTCAATAATAAAGCCTATTTTTTCCTGACGTTATTTCCATATATTATTATGATTGTCAGAGAAATAGTAATTTGGGAATTAATCAACGACGAACAGTCTTCAAGAAATTGATAAGAAGGGTATTCATTCGAATCAAGTTATTGTATGAATACTAGCAAGAATTTTTGTGAAACACAATTTGAGGGTAGAAGATTGCCCTGATTTTTCCATTTATTGATTAAGAAATGTCACAAGTGTCAGTTCAAAATGTCTTCGTTCGGCGAACTTTCTCTTCCGAGAAATCAGAAAGAGTTATGAATTTGCTCTGAGTCAATGTTTGGTGCCAGCAAAACCCTATTGCAAGTCCAAATTTGAGGGGCACAAATATACGGGAATATGATTTTTGTTTACTCGTTACAATGGCAATAGTTTTTCCATAACTGATTTCAGTCAAGCTAAACCCGATACAACTTGGCAACCACGCATTTCCTCACCACGGGAATTGGGTTTTTGTTTACTCCTTACCATGACGATCGTTGTCATAGCAACAGTTTTTCCATAACTGATTTCAGCTATACTAAACTCGATACAACTTGGCAACCATGCATTTCCTCACCACGAGATTTTGTTTTCTGTTTACCTGTTACCATGACAATGGTTGCCATAGCAACAAATTTTCCATAACTGATTTCAGCTAAACGAAACTTGAACCTTACAATCTAATTTGACCAGTCCCTCGGGATTAAATAGTTCACTCTAATAACTGAGACATACTTTAGTTCCGAAAATGAAAAAAAAAAAGAAATATCACAGTACCACTCACCTGGACTTGTTGGAACAGAATCAAAATGGGAATTGACAAGAATACTTTTCGTGGAATTATTTGAGCCATGTATCTTGACAATAACATTCTGGACATTGGAGTAAGCATTAATTTGGTTGACTTGCAATATATCCACATAATATGCTCCGCTAACTAACTGAAAATCTACTTCGAGTTTCTGATTGATATGTTTTCTGTGAATTATGGAATCAATTTCACGTCTCAAGAAATCCACAGTGAGAATTTCATTTTCATATTCCCCAACAACTCTTGGTCCTAGGTTGGTCAAAAATTGGAGATCACGTATGGCTCTCTCGGCTATAAATGATTCTGGATACCTTTCCTGAAAATAAAAATATCATTGAGAAATTCTTCTTCAAGGTAGTAGGTAACTTCTTATATTTTGACTAGTATTTCTCGAGTATAAAGATGTGGAAAATACTAGTGAATCATATTAAATAGCAGTTAAATTATTTCAATATGATACTATTTGATCACAACAAAAATAGTTGTATGCTATTAGTTAAATTATGGTAACTTGAATTCAACAAGTTTATGAATCTAGGTTTAGTATGAAGATAGTATCTTCAGGTCCCTATCATGATATGTATTATTTCTCTTTCGCAGTATACAGGCTGATTCACGGTGGATGGCACATTAGCAACTCAGGATTATTCTGAGAAATTGGTGCCTTGGATAATATCGTGTGTTCTATCGACCTGACCTAAAATATTCTCAGCATTGCGACGTTGCCGCTTATATTGAAAAGTAGCAACAACTTTGATTTATTTAATGGGACACCCTGTATATTATTCCATTTTCAGATTTTTCCTGGAGAGCTAATTTCATTGACATATAACACTTGGTGTCTAGCAGTAATAATTACAGTTATAGGATGTGAAAAATCGAGATTTTTCAACTTAAGGACTGTTTTGTGTCGAAACTATTCATAATTGGTCGAAACGGTTTTCAGGTTCCTATTCTAACATTTTATTCACTATCAATTGATCTTTAATTGAAATAGATACAGGGTGGTAGAAAATCTTAATTCTGAACCTCCCTGTACCTATTTCAATTAAATATTAATTGATTGTACATAAAAAGATAAGATAGGGACATGGAAACCGTTTTCAGGCTGTCCCATTAAAAAAATCAAAGTTGTCGCTACTCTTCAGTATAAGCGGCAACGTCGCAGCGCTGAGAATATTTCAGGTCGATAGAACACAACGGATTATCCGAGGAACCGAGTTTTCAAAATAATCCTACGTTGCGTTCTCCAGAAACGTCTAATGTACCATTCACCGTGAATCAGCCTGTATATTTCTGATTAAAAATTATGTTTTTTCTGTGACGGGAAAAAAGTTTGGCATTTCATCCCTGTTGGCAGGTTATAAAATGTCACTTTTCATAAATTACTTTTTTCCCGTGGGAAAAAAGTGAGTACTTCTTTCCCGGATATATATCACATATATATATATACACTGTTGATGGCTTTTGTTGTGCTATAGTTCCGAAAAATGAGTCAATAATACCGTCTCCGAGAAAGAACTGCAAGTCCTTTTATCTTCCATACGACTTCGCGGTTACGTGTGTTGCTAAATAACCACTGAATTCGCAATTTCTTGAAATAAAATCACAAAATTAGACTGACAGAAGTGACATCAGATATTTGATTACTTCAAATGAATGATAAAGATGCCTACAACGCGGTGTCCCTACTGTTAAAAACTTAAAATTTCCCGTCGATAATTTTCAGATATCAAAATATTGTAATATCTTCTCAATATTGATTCTTCCTTTCTTCTGTCACAGAAAAAAATAGTGTATTATACACGGGAAAAATATTAGATTTTAGCTCACGGTTTGTTGTCTCCCTCCGCTACGCGTCGGGAGACAACACAACCTGGAGCTAAAATCTACTACTTTTTTCCCTTGTATAATAAATAACTATTTCTGTGACGGGAACATGTCATCTCTGTTGACAGATTATGAAATGCCACTTTTCATGAATTACTTTTTTCCCGTAGTAAAAAAGTGAGAACTTTCACCGGCAGAAAAAACCGGCCACCAAAAAATTTTGCCAAATTGTTGGCCCTGTAACTGTTAATTCTTTTCCGATTTTAGTGAAATTTCGACCATCAAGTGGTGTGGGGAAGGCAGGCCGCGGCCGCTTGACAGATGAAGCATTTTGGGACCATCTTTGCTATCTTCTGCCAGATGGGACAATTTGTGGACATCTGTGGCAGGGATGGGGCGATTTGCTGATGTCTGTCTAGGTGGTCGAGGACTGGTCAACGAGGCTCTCGCAACCTAATCCAAGCTGTGGGAACCCGTGGCGATGGATGGATGGCACCGAGGAATGGTGTCGCTAACGGGGCCTCTGGGAAACAGGGCGACATCCCAGAGTAAACAGCCTTAGCCCTGTGCAGGGGGCACCACAGGGCTGGACCAACCCCTTCCCCCGTCACTCGTAGGAGAAGGAAAGCTTTTGGCCTTCTTCGTAGACGAGAACAGGGATCGGAATAGCAATATTCAGGGACCTGAACGAGAAGGGTCTTTTATATTGAAGTGGCCCTTAATAGGCACCATGAGTCGTATGTGGTAAAATTGATAACGGCATGTAGGTGAGATACAATGGGCCACTAGGCCTAAGTGTCGTCGGAGCCTACAGAGTGTTTAGTGGGTATACCATGGAGAGGACTCCCACACTATCATATGGGGGATTGGACCCATATTATGATGTCTAAAAGATTTCAACCACCTCGGCGAAAAAAAAAAGCTGACGGCTTGATCATGATACAGGGAAAACCAAAAGTTACTGTTTCATCCTTAACTTCCTGACGCCCTGTGGAAAAGGTGAGTGGTTGAACTTAGCTTCATATATTTTGGATTGAAGTGTGTTCCCTTCTCAACACAATGGTTCTAGATTCACGGCAATATCTTCTTTTTAAGAGAAGATACAAGTGTTTCAAGAGAGTAGGAATTTTTTAAAATTGTCATTAACCATCCACCATGGGGATCTCAGTTATTATAAGAGATAAGAGGTCGGTTAAATTAGGGCAAAGTTGCGTATTTTCATGCTGAACATTTATCTGCCAGAAAATTTATAATTTTCGTTTCAATTTTTTCAAGCGGAAACCAAAAGACCTAGACGTTTCTGACTGGGACATTCTTAAGGCAATTTTTTACAAGGAATCTGAATCTGTCATTGTATTTTCCATGCCAAAGTTACAACACACACCTTAGTTTTTTCTGTCAAACTATAAGCAGAGCACAACTTCCAAAGAAAAATATTTTGCATTTTCATGTTGCTAACGGGAGCAGATTCGTTCCCAAAACGTCCAAAGATAAGTAAAAATTCGATATTTTTTCAATATATCTATATTTCTTTCCTTCAAACATTTTTTCAAAGTGTCACTGACAAGCTACTGGATTTTTCTTTTCGGCTTGTAGCCAGACTCTCAGGGGTTGGTGGATATAATGGGTGTTTCTCGGTTTGGAAGAAAACAACGGGTCTCCAGACTTGAATCGCTCAGTGCGATACACTTTATTGGTGTATAGTGAACACAATACGGAGAAAGTACAAAATATAAATATCAACAAGCAAAAATATTCTTATAAGCGTATACCAACCTAACGCAGAGTCGCATGGCCAAATGATAAAGTTATACAATAGTAATCAAAATTCTAGTAATACATACCTAAAAGGCAGGCACACCACGAGAGGAATACTCTGTAGATTATATAAGACCTCAGCACTTTCAACTTGAGTAAAATGTTTCAAAAAAGTAAAGCCAAAAACGTGGCAGACGTTTTCTAATCGCAAATGGTCGGAATCGAAAGCAACTCACAATCTCTTAATCCAAGTACAAGTTTTTTCCAACAGAAAAAACTGCGCTGAAATATTCAATAATATTAAATCAAATCGTCCAGGGGACGCCATCTAGCTAACTAAACCCCAACGCACGAAAAGTCGGCTACAGGTACCGTCACCTGAGCAGTTCACTGTAAAATATTTTGTCATGCACGAACCATGGTAAAGAACACACTTAGATAAAAATCACGAACAGGCAGCGATGATAAGAATAAAAGAAAACAGCCTAAACTCTAAACGGTTTTACGCTTTACCGATCTACAGGGTGGCGGTATTTGATCTGCTACAGGCTCCCTGATAAAAAAATTTGTTAAACGCAGTGACATTTTGGGGCAAATCATCTGATTTGTCCCACTACAAATATATTGAAATAATACGCATATTTTTATTTTATAGAAACGACGAGAGAAAATCCCAAAAAATCAAGTAAAATGAATGTACCACCTCCTCGATTAACCTACAGACAGTATTTAGCATCTGATTATTGATAATGAAAATTGAAAAATGCCGTACTTTCTTGATTCTTCTTTTACAAATACGAAATTTAGGTGAAACAAAAACTATTGTGTTAAGAAGGGATCACACTTCAATCCAAACCATAATGAAGCCATGTTCAATTTCGGCACAGGGCGTTAAGAAGTAGAGGGTGAAATAGTAACTTTGGTTTTTCCTTGTATAAAAAGTGTTTTGTAAAAGTGTTTTGTAAAAGTGTTTTTAACCGCCAGCTTAGTTGCAAAGCAACCCTCGAAAGTCAGAGACTTGTGTGAGTTAAGAAGACGGGGACCTTAGCTTTTTAAGTGTCATCCGAAGCACTACTCGGCTGGTAACCGTGGACAGTCCAAAGGATTGATATCTAGGTACCAAGAATGTTGGGTTGGCCACCTATCTCCTCCCGCCCAACGAAACTACCGAAAATTAATTCAGTGCTCGCGCCGGGGCTCGAACCCGGACCGCCTGGGCAACAGCCAGCGACTCTACGCTCACGGCCACCAGCCCATCAGCTAATATTCAGGCCAACATTCCAGAACATGAATCTACGGTTTGATTCGAATTTCACAAAAATCGGACGAGGATTAAAAAAGTTACATGGTGAAAAATTTGGGCAAATTTTTTGGTGGCCGTTTTTTTTGCCGGTGAGTGTATATACAGGGTGTATCTAAATAACACCGAAAAAATTCAAGGGGTGTTTCCTTGTGATATTTTAGCAAATGAAGTTCATATAAACATGTGTCCTAACTTAATCAAGCTCACTATTAAAATTCAATACTTTTTTGATTTTGGAGCATTTTTTGAAAATTTTATATTCATACATTATAAATCATTCTGAAGGGAAAAAATAAGTAATTTGATTAGCTTATAAAATACAGGGTGTTCTATTTAAAAAATCATAAGTTTGAGTCGTATCTCCAAAACCATACCCCAAAAAAAATTTTTGAGTGCGCAACTGGATTTTGCGTAAAATCTTAATT